CCAACTCTGCCCACGCCCTCCTCTTCTTTTCATTCATCACGGCCGCTTTCTCAGCGTTGCGCGCTGTACGTTCTAACCGCTGTTGCGTTTGGGGTGAACAGCGCGCAGGCGGGGGGGCGGACAAGCAATTTTGACCAAGCGTCAGTTTGGTGTGGGATGATATGGAGAAGAGTGAAGAGGCGTATATGATTGAAAGCAACGCGAATGCATGCGCGCCTCCCACTCCCAGCCAGCTACCTCGCAAGCCATATGCACCATGCACTTGTGCCCGCTCATCCTCCCCGACTTGGCGCTGGTGAAGTGAAGCACTCACCTCTTTTCTCAGACACTTGTTCAACTCCAACTTGACATCGTTGCAACCTCCGGTGATCTTGTGCCAAAATCCTTTCGCATGACAATCATTCAGCGCTCGTATAAGCTCCCCACACTCTGCGCACCCCTCGCCCCCGCGCCCGTGACAAATCAAAGCGCAAAATGTCAATGTCAATGGTCAGTGGAACGTGTTTCCGTGTAGCATTTGCCAAGTTGGCCCACTGCGGCCTGGCCGGGCTCAAGTCGAGTCGAGCGGAGCAGGGAGCGCCATGCGAAGCTAGCTGCCATCGATCCGTCTCGCAAAAGCATGCGGTAACATTCCGCATACCCGTTTCAAGGCTTTGCAAGAATGCAAAGGGGGGGTGTGTGTGCGTGTGGATGCTCGAAAGCGCAAGTTGGCAACACTCACGTTCTTGTTTCGAAGCTGAGAGAGCCTGAATGAAGCAGAAGGTGAGGGCGAAGGAGAAGGAGAAGAAGCAAAGGGAGGGAGGGAAACAAAAAAGGGGATCAAATGAATTCAATTTCTTCTACGCGCAATGCTTGATGATTGAGAGGGGCTCAGAGGGAGCTTTTGACTCACGGGGTGCATCTTGCGGGTCCTTTATCAGGCCTTTGCCTTTTCAGCAATCTCAATAGCCGAGCAGTGGGGCAGGGCACGGCGGTGTCAAGTATGTGCATGGGGGTGGAGATGATTGAAGAGTTGGACATGCTAACTCGTGCATCGACTCGTGACTTGCACAATTGCAACGACAACTCGCAACATGCACACCTCTCATTCATTCAACGCATGCCCGCCGCGGCATACTCTGACTCACGATTTACAGTCAAAGTCATCAGTACGTTCGCCTTCCTCCACATTCACGATTCACGTGACCATGCAGTGCTTGCATATAGCATGGGCCATTTGATTCACGATTCGATTCCATTTTTGATTTGATTCGACTCGACTCTCAAGACTAATTCATAGACGAAAGATTCAACTCGAGGTCAAGTTTGCACTCTGAGTTGCTCCTTGATCCTCCACACACCATATGCCTGTTCCTCGCACATTCTGAACACTGCCTTCTCTCTCGGCTACGTGCAGGCGATGGACTGCGGCCAGCAGCTCTACAGCTCTACGACGCTGTGTTAGTGACGGTGACACCGAGAGCCAGTGCACGGCTTGGGGGGCTGTGAGAATGAAGAGTCAGAGAGGAGTCATCAGCAGAGCTGTCGCTGCTCAGACTCGTCTTGCGACCACGAAGGGCACGGCACTTGGCACATACACTCAGCACGTTGCGCGCCTCCGTTCGATTGCGCAACCAGTCGGCTTATGCAATTCGAGCAATGCTTCACTGCAAGCACGCTGTATCACCATCGACACCACCAACGGCGCACGTGCACGTGCACTTGCACGTTTCAAGTCTCAAGTCTCGACCTCGCAGGTCGCTTCCTTCACCTCCATCGAATCCCATTCACACAAGTCCACACCGCCCCGTGCCACCTCGACGGAGGGATGGCAGGAAGAGTGGACATGGGAACCCATGATAGGCGTCGAAGTGCACGCTCAGCTCGCGTCCAGGCAAAAGCTCTTTTCGCGTGAGTTCCTTGCCAAGTGTCTGTTGCAAAGTATGGCAATAGCAACAAGCTCGGCGCTGCAATGTGCGCTGCTCTCACCGCCTTTCTTCCCTGCCACATTGCCCCCCCCCCC